CCAGGCCTTGAACCAGGCGCGAATTTCTGTGGGGTTTGCTGCAGCAGCAGACAGCCACAGCCGAAGCACATGCAGCCACTGACGCATAAAGCCCTCGTGCAGCACGCGGGCCAGCAGCTCCGTGGGCAGCAGCGACTCCCACAGCAGCACGTCGTTGAAGGGGGTGAGGTCTTGCTGCTGCGGCCGGATCTCGAGCTGCTGCAGCCGCTGCAGCAGCTGTGGCACCACCCCCCGCTGCAGCAGGTCCAGCCACAAGTTGCTGCTGAACACTCCCCGCCAAGGCCGCAGCAGCGCCAGGCAGCTGCGGTCCGAGGCTTTCCAGTGTACAGACAGCACCCGCACCAGCTTCTGCTGCAGCGGCAGCAGCAGCTCCGACTCCGCCAGCGGCCGCTCCACCAGAGACACAAACGGCAGCAGCCACTGGTGCACCGGCCTGCTGCTGCTGCTGCTGCTGCTGCCGCTGCTGCTGCTGGGGGCTAAGGGGTCCCAATTGTCGAGCGACCGCCGCAGCTGCTGCACTGCAGGCTCCTGCAGCACCCGGCGGCCGGCCCGGGCTGGCAGCGACGGCAGCCACACCTCCAGCAGCGCAGCAGCAGCAGCAGCAGCAGACACGGGAGTCCAAGAGTTCAGCAGCTGCCGCCGCATGTGTGCCCCAACGGACTCCTCAACTCCTTCCTGCAGCAGGTCGTAAGTCCTCCCTGCCACCAGCCGCTCCAGCTGCTCCTGCCGCTGCTGCTGCTCCTGGAGCAGCAGCAGCTGCTGCTGCTGCCGCTGCTGCTTCAGCTTCGCCATCCAACGCTCCTCCTCCTCCTGGTGCAGCTGCGTGTACACTCCAAACCACTGCCCCACAGAAGCAGCCAGCTGCGGTGCTGCTGTCTCGAGAGGGGCCCACACGCCGCACACCCGCTGCAGCAGCAGCCGCAGCAGCGCAGCAGCAGCAGCAGCAGCGTGTAACTTGTAAAAAGCTTCCTGCCACGTGTCTCTCCACCTCAACACCTCCTGCAGCAAAGCCTTCGGGGTGAGACCCCCCGTCAGGTGGCCATACTCCGGCTCCTTGCTGCTGCTGCTATCGCTGTTACTGCTGCTGCTGCTCTTTGCCTGCGCCTCGTCGTCGCTCCAGCGGTCGGCCTCCGGCTCCTGCTGCTGCTGACCCTCAGGGCCGCTGCGCCGCTTGATTCGAGTGTACATGGCCTTGACTGCAGCAGCCAGCTGCTTCGTGCTTTCCACTGCTAGGTGGCGCTGCTGCTGCTGCTGCTGCTGCCGCTCGTCGTTTGCTGCAGCGTCCAGCAGCTCCTGCTCCTGCTGATGCTTTTGAGCAGCAACTTGCTGCAGATCTCTCTCCACCCGACGAATCTGCTGTCTCAGGGCCTGCTGCAGTAGCTGCAGCGGCACTCCACTTGTGCTGCTGCTGCTGGTGCTGCTGCTGCTGCCGTTCAGTCTCAACACCTCTTCCTGAAGCAGCTGCTGCTGCTGCTGCTGCCGCAAAGCCTCTCCCACCTCCGCAGCATTCTCCAGAAGCCGCACTTGGGGGCCGGTCATGTCGATAACTCTGAGCTGCTGCTGCTGCTGCTGCTGTTGCTGCTGCAGCAGCATGCGCCCCTCAACAGCGATTTGTGCTGGTGTCTTCACCAGCCGTTTGCTGCGGGCCTTTCCCGTTCGCCACTCGTCAGACACCCCAGATATTCGCGCGACACCGCCATCTTCTGCTGCTGCTGCTGCTTCCGCTGCTTCTGCTGCTGGCTTCCACCGGAACACGTCGGGCCCTACCACCCCGCTGGGCACCACCTGCAGCAGCAACAGCAGCAGCAGCAGCGAGCGCAACATTTGGGATGCTGCGCACCAGCCTCTTCCAGCAGATGATGCGAAAAACAAGGAGCGGCAGCAGAAGCAGCAGCAGCAGGGCACAAAGCGAGATCACCAACCGCAGCAGCGGCAGCTGCCGGAGCCAGTGCAGCAGCAGCACGCAACATTGTCAGCAGCTCGGCTGCAGCAACAGCAGTGGGAGCAGCCACAGCAACGAGCACAGCAAGAGCCACAGGCAGCACAGCGACGGCAGCAAAGCAGTGACACGAGCCCGGTAGTAGCAGCAGGATCAGCAACAACAGCAGCAGGATCAGCAACAGCAGCACGATAAGCAACAAAAATAAGCAGCAGGATCAGCAGCAGGACCAGCAGCAGCAGCAGGATCAGTAGCAGCATCAGGATCAGTAGCAGGATCAGGATAAGCAGGGCGACTATCAAAAGCAGCATGATCATGATCAGCAGCAAGATCAGCAGCAGGATTAGCAGAATCAGCAGCAGCAAGATCATCATCAGTACCAAGATTAGCAGGGTCAGTCTCAGGAAAAGCAGGATCAGCAGCAAAATAATCAGCAGCAGCAGAATCCGCATCAACATCAGCACGATAAGCAGCAGCATCTGGACCAGCAGCAGAATCAGCAGCAGGATCAGCAGCAAGATCCGTATCCGCAGCAACAGGCTCATCATCATCATCAGAACAACCATCAACACCATCCCAACCACCACCACCACCACCACCACCACCACCACAACCACCACCACCAAGACCAACAGCAGCAGCAGCAGCAGCAGCAGCGGGGCGCGCCTTGGTGGGTTCTGCGCCTTTCTCGCCGGGGCGGAGGCGCTCGCCCTGGTTTTGAAGGGCTCTGTTTTTTTTGCGGATTTTGACTTCGATGGGAGCGACGAGGCCGCGGCCATCTTTGCCGAGGGCCCCCCCCTTGAAGCCCATTCGCTGCAGCAGCGCGAAGCCTTTTCCGTACACTTGCTGCATTTGCTGCTGCCCCCAGCCCCCCTGCTGCTGCTGCTGCTGCTGCTGCGCGTCGCCGCCGGGGGAGCTCCCCGGCTGCGCGGAGGCGCGCTTGAACACGAACGCGGGGGAGCGGCTGCGCCGGCTGCTGCTGCTGCCCTCGCTCTCGCTCCCGCTGCTGCTGCTGCTGCTGCTGCTGCTCTCGCTCCCGCTGCTCCCGCCCTCAGATGCTGCGCCCGACGACCCCGCCCCTGCTGCTGCTGCTGCGGATCCAGACTCGCCGTCCGAATGGCCCCCGGAAACAGGAGAAGCCCCGCCCTGCTGCTGCTGCTGCTGCTGCTGTGCGCTCCTGCTGCCGCCTTCGTCCTCGCTCTCCGAGTAATCGAGCCCTAGCTGCTGCAGCACATGCGCGTCCTTGCTGCTTAACTGCTGCTGCGGCTGCTCCTGCTGCGGCTCCTTGTCGCTGGGCTTCTTGATAGACAGCTTCAGCTGGCTCTTGTCGAACTCGAACGGCTGGGGAACTGCATCGCGACGCCTGCTGCTGCTGCTGCTGCTGCTGCTGCTGCTCTTCTTGCTGCTGCTGCTGCTCTTCTGCTTCTTCTCGTTGGGGTCCTCTGGCTGCAACACTCCACCCTTGACAAACTGAATAGGGCCACTGCTGCCCTCCTCGCTGCTGCTGCGGCTGCTGCTGCGGCGCCGCCGGCGCTTGCTGTTGCGCCCAGCAGCAGTCGCAGCAGCAGGCCGGCCTACATCCTCATCGCTGCTGCTGCTGCCGCCGAAGCAGCCATAAATTACTTCCTTCCTGCGAGCGCGTCTACTGCTCTTCCCCATTTCTGCTGCTGCAGCAGCAGTGACGCGAGCAGCTGCTGCTGCTGCTGCCGTTGCTCCACTCGAGAACTCCGCAGCAGCTCCTCGTTGTACTGCTGTAGCTGCTGCTGCTGCTGTTGTTGCTGCTAGACTTGATCTGCATGTAATGAAACTCCCCCTAAGGACCCTAGAGAAGTCCTTACGGCGTCTCTGTTTGTCTGCGAGCGTTGCTGCTGTCGCTGCCGCTGCTGCTGCTTCTTGCGGTGCTGCTGATGATCGAGTTTTGATGGAGCTGCTGCTCTTCTTCCTGTGGCTGCTGCTGCTGCTGAGACGTATTGAGGCAGTTCAGCAGCGCTGAGGAGCGCTATGCAGAGAAGGGCTGCAAGTCGTTGCTGCAGCTGCTGCTGCTGTTCACATTTGCCGCTGCTCGCGGGAGCTGTTGCTCTTGCGGCTCCTGCTGCTGCTGCAGCAGCGCAGTGCCTTTCTTTCTCGTTGGTCTAAAACACAATCTGTATAAGCTTCCTAATTTAAGCAGCTTTTATCTTACAGCCGCAACAGCAGCAACACCCAATGGGGCCCGCCGCTGCTGCATGCAGCAGCAGCAGCAGCAGCAGCCGCTCCCACAGAAGCAAGACACAACCACACCGCAGCCGACAACCCTCCACCGCAGTTGCCAGCGATACTCATAGAGGTTTCAGAAGCTGGAAATTCCACTACGAAGGCCTCGCGGCAGTAAACAGCACCAGCAGCAGCAGCAGCAGCCGCAGTAGCACGAGCAGCAGCAACCGCTGAACAGCGAACCACGCATGCACATAGTGCTGCAGCAGCAAAGTTGAAAATAACAGGAGAACAATCCTGCAGTGGCCGCCGTAGCAGCGAAGATGGCGCTGCAACTGCGTTGGTGGCCAAATAGCTGAGAAGTGCTACTGCTACAGCCGCTGCAGCTGCTGCAACAAGCGCTGCAGCAGCAGCTGCTGCTGCTGCGGCCGTCACAATGGAAGAAGCCATGGAGCACAGAAACGGCGCTGCAGCTGAAAGAGCTGCTGCTGCTGCCACTGAACGGGGGGCCGCAGCAGCTAGTTCTGCAGCAGCAGCAGCAGTAGCAGCAGCAAATGCCTGTTATCACAGCAGCAGCAGCAGCAGCAGCAGCAAACGGACACGCGATGCTATTGCCACTGGCTCCCACTCTCCCAAACGTGTACGGCCGGCTGCCGCAGCTGGCAGCAGTAGCAGCAGCAGCAGCGAGGCATCAGCGTCCGCACCAGCACGGTTCGCAGCAGGGCGGCAGCAGCAGCAGCGGCAGCAGCAGCAGCAGCAGCAGCGGTCCCTGCGGCGAGCCAACCCTTTGAATTTGCGCTTTTGCGTCGCTTTGCAACGCCTGCGGAAGTCCGCCACTCTCAGGAAGGACCTGCGCATAGCCAGTGCCCACAGAAAGGTAAACCCTAGACCCTAAACCCTAAACCCTTCGACCCCAAACCCTAATTGGCGCGCACAGGATGCGCTTGAAGTCCAGCTTTAAGGGTTTAGGGTTTACAGCTGGCACGGCTACTGCGGCAAGCTAGCGTTGCAGCCTCCCGGATATAGGGTTTAGGGTTTAGGGTTTAGGGTTTAGGGTTTGAGCTACAGGGCATCGTGTCGCTCCTGCGCTTCCCTCTCCCCCTCTTCGGTTTGGCTCGAGCGGAGCTGCTGGGGGGCGTTGGGCGGAAGACTGCCAGCATCCTAATGCAGTAAACCCTAAACCCTAAACCCTAAACCCTAGTTGGCGAGTGCTAGACACTACTTACCGAGCTGCCACACACAGTTCATAGGCAGCAGTCTGCAAACCCTAAAACCTAGACCCTGCGCCCTCGGCCAGATTCTTTAGATGCTGAGCCGCGACCCCTGAGGGTTTAGGGTTTAGGGTTTAGGGCTTGCTGGCCGACCCCGAAGCCCTCGTAAGAAGTGCTTCTCTTCTGAACCCCACGCCGTAAATCCAAAGCCGCCGTCTTGTGTTTCTGCTGCTGTTGCTGTTGCTGCTGCTGCGGCTGTTGCTGCTGCTGCAGCGTTCTGGCAGCTGCTCCGGAGCCGCTAGACCGAGACCCTGACAAGCTGTTCGCCGCCGTTTCTGCCGCTGCTGCTGCTGCTGCTGCTAGCAGCGCCGCTGGCTGTGCTTCTGCTGCTGCAACAGAAGCAGCAGCAGTTGCTGCTGCTGCTGCTGCTGCTCCGGACTGCAGCAGCGACATGCTGCTGCAGCTGCACAGACACCGCGTGGCAGCACTGAAACGGGCAGAGGCCTTTGCAGAGGCAGAGCGGAGGCGGGGCCGGCTGCCCCTCCTCAACAGCAGCAGCAGCAGCAGCAGCAGCAGCAGCAGCAACAGCGGTGGAGGCGCAGATTTGAAGCTGCCTCCCCGCTGCAGCAGCAGGTGGACAGTGCTGCTGTGTCTGTACAGCTTCGGCCACTTCTTTAAGCGCCGGCGCATGCGGCTGGCGCAAATTGCTGCTGCTGCCAACAAGCTGAGGCTGCAAGTAAACCCTAAACCCTAAACCCTGGATTAATCCCGCTTACGTCCTCAGCGCTAAGTTCACGGGCCGGCCGTTCAGGCTGGCTGCTGTAGCTGCAGCAGCTGCTTCTGCAGCTGCAGCAGCTGCTGCTGCTGGAGCCGCAGCGGCTCCCGCTGCGGCTGCTGCTGTAGCCGCTGCGGCTGCTGCTGCTGCTGCTGCTGCTGCTTCATACGTGAGGTGCTGGAGTGTACGTACACTGCGTTTCAGGGCATAAGCTGCGCCGTTAGCAGCCTCCGCGCTGCAGCGGAGAAGTTGGTGCAGGAAGGGTTGCTGCTGCAGTACCCCCACAGCAGTGTCAGCAGCAGCAGCAGCAGCAGCAGTAGCAGGGGGGCATCAGCAGTTTCGTTGCCCTTGGGGGATGCTCAGCCCATACTGCGCCAGCCGCTGCAGCAGCAGAAGCAACGGCAGAAGCAGCAGGAGCGGCAGCAGCAGCGGCTGCAGCAGCAGCTGCTGCGCTATGGCCTGAGCCCCACTGGTGAGGATGTAGCAGCAAGGTGTGCTGCTGCTGTTACTGCTCCCCTGGCAACCGCCAGCCCCCCGTGTACAGAGACTAGCAGCAGCTGCAGCAATGGCAGTTGCTGCAGCAACGCCGAAAGCAGTAGCAGCAGCTGCAGCAGCAGCGAGGAATGCGACGTAGTTCGGGAAACAGCCCCAAAACCAGCCCGCGTCTTCACTGCTGCTGCTGCTAGTGCTGCTGCTACTGCTGCTGCACCTGCAACTGCAGCTGCTCTTGCTTCATCAGCAACCACTGTAAACACATTGGCAGGAACGACAGCGGCAGCAGCAGCAGCAGCGGCGGCAGCAGGTGCAGCGGCAGCAACCCCGAAGAAGTCAGCAGCAGCTGCTGCTGCTGCATTCGCGGCCTGCAACATCGCATTGGTGACAGAGCCCTTACTTGAGAGGATCAGGCGGGCCGAAACTAAAGCAACAGCCGCAGCAAGAGCAGCAGCAGCAGCAACAGCAACTGCAGCAGCAGCTGTAACAACGGCAACAGCAGCAGCAGCGACAGCAGCAGGTACTCCTCTTGCAGTGGCGGCTGGCACTCCAGTGGCGGCAGGAGGAGCTGCCTTGAGGACCCCAAGAGCAAAAGCAGCAGCAGTTAGAACATCAGCACCAGCTGAAGCAGCAGTAACAGCAGCAGCGGCAGCAGCAGCGACAACAACAATAACGGAAAGGAGCCCAGAGGCAGCAGCAGCAGCACCAGAGTCTCCGGGCAACTTTCAGCAGCAACGGCTGCGCGCCGCTCAGGCATTGGCAACAGCAGCAGCAACAGCAACAAGAGTCCTTGCTGCATGCAGCAAACCGCCAGAGCTGCTGCTGCTGGTAGACACGCGAGAGCGGAATGGCAGCAGCAACCGCAGCAAGCGCCTGCAGCAGCAGACGCTGCTGCAGCGCCTGCTGCAGCGCAACAAGGTGCCTCTAGAGCAGCGCTGCCTCCCTGTGGGTGACTTTGCATGGATCTGGAGGCCAGATACTGCTGCTGCTGCTGCAGCAGAAGGAGCAGCAGCAAAGCCGCAGCAGCAGCTAGAATACTTGCTGCCAATCTTAGTGGAAAGAAAAACACCAGGGGACCTGATGGCTTCGATCCTTGACGGCAGGTCAGTTAGAGCAAAGGGTCAGGGGTTTAGGGTTTAGGGGTTAGGGTTTAGGGTTTAGGGGTTAGGGTTTAGGGTTTAGGGTTTAAAACTGAGGGGGTGCTTGCTGCAGGTACACAGACCAGCAGCAGCGGCTGATGGAGACTCTGGGTGTCGAGACAGCAATATTTTTGTTCGAGGGAGACTGCAGCAGCAGCAGCAGCGGCGGGGGCTCTGCTGCTGCTGTTGCTGCTGCTGCGGCCCCGCAGGTGCAGCGCAACGCTGCTGCTGTCCGTACAGCGCAAGTGCATGCGCTGCTGCTCTCTGGCTTCCACGTGCTGCAAGCAGCAAACCCTCGTCACTCGTGAGTCTTTTCATGCTGCTCGAAAAGAGGTTGAAGGGTTTAGGGCTTAGGGTTCAGGGTTTAGGGTTTCGGGTTTCGGGTTGGGGCTGTGCGCGCTCTCCCGCAGCGCCGCCCTGCTCACACTGCTGCACAGGCGGTTGCAGCAGCGGCTTTCAGCTTACTGGCAACAGCAGCAACAGCAACAGCAGCAACAGCAGCAACAGCAGCTGCAGCAACAACATCAACAGCAGCAGCAGTTTCTGCTGTGGAGGGTTTGGGCGGATGCGACGAGGAAACAGAGTCAGCGCAGCACTCAAGAGATGTTCTTCTTGCAGCTCAGAGCTGTACGGCACTCCAAACCCTAAACCCTAAACCCTAGGCCTTGGCAGTCGAGGCTTATTGTCTCAGGCGGTTATACGGCCTCCGTGCAGCCTGCCATACTTGCTGCTGCTGTTGGTTTTGCTGCTGCACTTCTCGCTGCTGCTGCTGCTGCTTGCTGCTGCTGCTGCTGCAGATTGAGGGGATCGGTTGCTCAATGGCTCTTCAGATTGCTGCTGCCTTTCTAACCCCGGCATTGCTGCGGCGATTCTTCCGCAGCAGCAGCAGCAGCAGTAGCAACAGCATCAACAGCAGTGAGATGGACGCTGCAAAGACAGAAGAGCTGTTTGCTGCCTTTTTGCAGAAGCTGAAGCAGCAAAAAGGCTGTGCAGCAGCAGCAGCAGCCACACCTGCTGCTACCCCTGCCCCTGCAGCAACGCCGAGAAGCAGCAGCAGCAGCAGCAGCAAGCGGGGGACCCCCAGCGCTGGCGGCAAACGATTAACGCAGCTCAAAGGGAACGCAAGGCTGGCCAAAGTAGGTCCTAGGGTTTAGGGTTTAGGGTTTAGGGTTTAGAGCTTAGGGTTTAGGGTTAAAAGTTTAGGGTTTGCAGCTGCCTCCGCTGTTTCATTTTTCGCAGATTTTTTTCGTTTTGAGGGAGTTCTATTGCGGACCTGTGCAAAGCGCTGCTGCTGCTGCTCCAATTTCTGCTGCTGCTGCTGCTGCTCCTTTTGCTGCTGAGGGTCTTGAGAGTGCTGCTGAGGAAATCTTTACGGAGCAGCACGGCAGAGAGTCTCAGCAGCCAGTGCTGCAACGAGACACAGTAGCAGCAGCAGCAGCAGCAGCCGCAACAGCAGCAGCAGCAGCAGCCGCAGCAGCAACAGTAACAGCGGCAGCAGCAGCAGAAGCCTCAGCATGCAGCATATTTGAGCTGCCCTCGCCCAGCGAGTCTGATGAGGAAGAGCTGCTGCATCGAAGTCCAGCAGCAACGCAACCTGCTGCTGCTGCTGCTGCCGCTACTGCATGGTGCGCCGGCACAGCAGAAGATCCGCTAGAGGTTTGAATTGCCCTTGAGGCACTTGCTGCTGCGGCATCTGCAGCAGCAGCAGCAGCAGCAGCTTTTGCTGCATCTTACCCGCAACGCGTGGCGTGTTGTCCTTGTCGTCTCTTTGACAATTAAAACGAAGCGAACTCAAAAGCAAACAAACACAATTCTGCATTTTTTGATTAAGTCGGTGGCTACAAGTCAATTTCAAATTAAATTTGTTTTTTGCTTTCAGCAGCTGGGAGCTGCTGTCGGCCTTGGGGTGTACAAAGAGCTCGTGTCTTTTATCTCTTTTCTTCCTTTCCGCAAATCGTCTCTTTTGATTTCACTTTTAATCTCTCGCTCCTGCTGAGGCCTGGTGAGGCTCCTGCTCTCCAGCTATCTGCAGCTGGCTGCAGCTAGCCCTGGCTAGCTGGGGCTGGCCGTGGCTAGCCGTGGCTGGCTGGGGTTAGCCGTGGCTAGCTGCAGCCAGCTGAGGCCATCCGTGACTACATGCGGGTAGCCGTAGCCGAATTTAGGCTATTTGTGGCTAGATGGGGCCAGATATGGCTAGCTGGGGCTAGCTGTGGCTAGCCGTCGTTAGCTGTGGCTAGCTGTGGCTAGCTGTGGGGCGGCGGAGCTCATGGCAGGCACCGGTTTGCTGCTTCTAGCTACGATTGCCATGTTGAGCGGAATAATATGAATTTGTTTCAATAAATTAATTAAATTTAAAACAAATTTGCAGCAAAAAGAGTCCGCAGACGGACAGTCTTAAGTGTGGGCTGCGCATACACCTGAAGTGACCCGCGGCGTTCCGCTGCCCGTCTGGCCCCATTGCCTCGCGCCTCTTTTTGCATTTGTTTAATCATTGAAGTAATTACTGATAAATATATTTAAATAATTTTATTGTTGAATTTGTTCCAGTTTGTTTTTGCCTTATTTCCAGCTCTTCTGCGGCACGGCTGCAGGCCTCTCGACTGCTGCGCACGGGAGACGCGGGGGACGGGGCCTCAGCGCTCGAGCCGCCTCTGTTTGGGCTTTAATATATCTTTTTGGATTTCTAAATTCAAAAATAACATTTTATAAATTCAAAAGTTTCATTTTTGTCGAGATTTGAAGCAATTTCATGGCCTTTTGCCGGGTGTTCCTCCCGCCACTGCTGACCGCCTCTGGCCAGAGAGCCTATAAGTTTTGCGCCATCTCTCCCCCTTTCACAAAAAACAAAATAAAATTAAAAAGGAAATAAACAATTTATTTATTTCAAAGAAGACGAAGCAAAAACACCAACACGCAGCTCCGCAGACAAACGAGACGCGGCGTTTTTGTGCCAACCCACACTGAAGCCCAGCAGAAGCGCCCAACCAGCGGCAGCAGCAAAAGCAGCAGCAGCAGCAACAGGAGCAGCAGCAGAAGCGGGAGCTGGGGGTGTGGGTTTGCAGTGGATTATGCGCGGGAGGCGAGTGTGGGAGTTGTCGGGTGTGCAGGATGGGTGTGTGCTGCTGCTACTGCTGCGGGTTGTTTGCGTGCCGGCGTGGCGGTGTGGGGTTTAAGCTGCTGCTGCTGCTGGTGGTTGCAGTGTTTGGCAGCATTTGCTGCTGCTGGGGGGAGCCCTTTTGCCGCTACGAGCTGCAGCAGACCCCGCAGCAAACGAAGCAGCAAAACTGCGGGTTCGTGTGCCCGGACCCGTGGGGCAAAGAAGACCCGCACGAGTGTGGGGCCCCACACCCCTGCTGCTGCGCGCCGCAGTGCGACGCAGCAGCAGCAGCAGCACGGGCCTTCGTGGGGGTGAACTGGTCGGACAAGTACTCGCGGCTGCGGCTGCCTCGGGAGAAGCTTTTTGGGATTTTGAAAAGAAATAATCTGAACCACATAAAGACTTTTTCTCCCGACGGGTTGAGTGCAATATTTGCGGTGTACGGACACCGCGCGCGGGTGTACGTGGGGCTCCCGAACCGGCTGCTGCCCGCGCTTGCCGCTTCTCCCGCCCGTGCTGCTGCAGTGGTGCAGCAGCAGCTGCTGCCGTTTGCTGCTATCCTACGGCTGGTCATAGTGGGTAACGAGCCCCTCATTTGTATCAAAACGGCCCAGTGGGCTGCCCGCGGGGAGTGTGGGGCCCTGGGGGCCCCCGCGCTGCTGCTGCCTGCGCTGCGCAACGTCAAGGCTGCGCTGCAGGCTGTGGGGTTGGGATCGATCCCAGTGACATCAGCTTTGAATGGGGGCATTTTAAACATGTCTCAAAACCCCTGGACTCCCTGCGTTGCAGGTTACAGGCCAGCAGTGCTGCCTTTGCTGCGCCAGCTCTGGGCCTTTCTTCTTTCCCAGGAGCCCCCTGCCCCTTTCTTAGTTAACATTTACTCTTGGTTTGCTGCCATGGGGGGCCACATCCCCCCCGCGCTTGCAGTGGGGGCCCCCCTGGGGGCCCCCC